TGAGAAACAGGTTGCTAGTCCTCTAATCAAGATAAAATAAAAATCTATATATTTGACCAAATATTCATTGTTTGAATTAAGAAGAAATGAATTCCAACTTCTCATCTAACTGAGATCCAGATTATCCAAAAATTAATGGTTCTTTCTACCACTCACAGATCCAAAAGTATTTGATGAAACCTAGACATTTAAAAAATTCTGGATATTTAGCCTCTTCAGATTTCCATCCCAATCACTTTTATAACTTTTCCCACAGACAGGTCCCAAGGTCCACATTTCCAGGGAGGTAGGTTCTAGTTTCATTATTGGTCTGACTGTAGTAGAGAGCTCTATACTTTGTATTCTATTCGCACCTATCTGTGACAGCAATAAAGATGACATGCAAATGACTCATTTGATTTCTTGTATTTGAAGAGGCTTGAATGATTAGCATCTTATGGTCTTCAGTGCTCACAGGCTGTAAATATTTATGAAGATTGCACATGTCGGGAATGCTTGTTCTTTAGGGCCCCTCGAAGAGATAGTGAGGGTTAAGTGTAGGGACAGAGGATATAGGGAGAAATTAAATGTAACATAGGAAGTAACCCTGTTCACTTACTCAGGGTTCTAATGTCCTCACATTCTACAATTAGGATTTGTTCTCATCCATCCTACAGACCATGAACCCCAGTGACCAACCTCAAATAGGGGGAGGGAGTATTTTTCCACTTCACCCAAGTTACAATGTTAAAATAGCTTAATTTATATATTAGTTACCTTTCTGTTTCAGAGGTAAAATACTATGACAAAGAGCAAGTTAGGGAAGCAAGGGGTTTATTTTAGCTTAAAGTTCTAGAAGGGATGTAGCCAGTCCATGATGGTGGGGAGGACATGGCAGGTAACGTGAGCATGAGCCTAGTCTGGCGGTCAGGAAGTAAGGCGGGTCACTTTTCATCCACACACAGGAAGCAGAGAGAGAAAGGAAGTGAGGCCAGGCTAGAAAGCTCAAAGCCCGCCCCCAGTGATGTACTTCCTCCAGCAAGGCTCCACCTCATAAAGGTTCCATAACCTCCCTAAACAGCATCATTAACTGGAGACCAAGTGTTTAAATACATAAGCCTATGGGGGGCGTTTCTCATTCAAATCACCACACCTTAGCTTAGTGATTCTCAACCTGAGGGTCATGACTTTTCTGGGGGTCAAATGACCCTTTCACAGGAGTCGCCTAAGACCATCAAAAAGCACAGACATTTACATGACCATTCATAACAGCAGCAAAATTCCAGTTATGAAGTAGCAAGGAAAATAATTTTATGGTCGAGGGGTTACCGCAACATGAAGAACTGTATTAAAGGGTCGCAGCATTAGGAAGGGAGAACCAGTCTTAATTGGTAACTCCACATTTTAAGACATTTTTTTTTCTGTCCTCACTGCAACTAGAGCTAGGGATGTCATTCTAGGTTGATCTAGGTTCAAGATCCTTCAATGTCTTTATGTTGTCAAAGGTTTTACTTATTTACATTTTGTACCTGGAAATACACACATCCTGGCTTTGTCTTTGTTTTTCTTCCCATTTTTATTTTCAAGTCATTTATTGATCCTAACAAAAGTATCATATCACACACACACACACACACACACATACACACACACACACACAAACATACACACTCCTTGACTTGCCACAAGTATTTGTAATTATATTTGTGTATACTGTAATTTAAAATAAGGGATTTTAAAGAAGTGAGGGATACAGTTTTTTTTTGTTTGTTTGTTTGTTTTGCCGGAATTATATCTGCCTCTTAGTCCTGTAATCAAGATAAAATGAAAACCTCTGTATTTCACCACAGGAATACAATTTTAGGACTGGGAGGCCCAGTAGAGATGAATTCCGAACTTCTGTCTAATAGAGATCCAGGCTGTCTAACTGGCTCCTGAGATTTACAGGCTCTTTCTACCACTCAAAGATGAAAAAATGTTTGATGAAATCAGGACATGTAAAAAAAAAAAAAAAAAATTCTAGCTATTTAGCCTCTTTGGATTTTTGAAATGTTTTCACTTTTAATTTGCGTGTTTATTCTCACCCAGTGAAAGTATTTTTCCTCTTTAGTAGGAAGCTAGGAACTAATTAAAATAAAATGTGTAGAGGAGAAAAGTTGCCTTTGAAGATCATATGTTAGTAGAGAGCCTGGAACTGACCTTTAGAGTAAGTCCCCCTTGCCCCCCTAATTGTATAATTTTGACAAGGATGACTCAGAGCCCCCAATCAGTAACTCATCCATGATTCAATAGTGCTCAATATTCTAGATTTGCTCATTTGAATACTTACAGGATATTCTGGGAAAAGTTTGTTTTGCTTAGGTGGAAGAAAAAGCATTTTTCCATTCTATTTTCAAAAATAATTCATGACTACTCATTTGTTGTTTCATGAATTCTTCTGCTAGGCCTGTTATGTCAGGGGTCATATATCATATTCTCATTAAAATAGATTTTAAAATGAAAAGCAAAAACAAAACATCATACTTGTCAAGCTCTATGCCCCTGGGGCACCCTGCAAGGAAAAGCTACAAATTTACCTAATACCCTGAGCCACTGAAAAATCTTAGAATACTGAGCTGCAGAAAAACACTTTAAGATATTTTATTTTATTTTGTGAGTGTCTTTTGAGTTTTCCTGTTGTTTACTCAAAGTATTGGCCTAGATAGCAGACAGTCCTGAATTTGTCTTGCCTTACTTTCCAGTTGCATGACTTTGAGCTCATTAGTTTCCTCATATGTACACTGAGGATAAAATGGGCACCTCTGCCTCCACAGGAAGGCGAAATGCACAGAAGACAGTCTCATATTCTACAGAAATTTTGTGAGTATTGAAACAGAAATATAGAAAGCAATTGGTACCTATGGCTTCTGGCATGTGGTAACTGCTCATCAAATGTTTGTAAGAATTATTCTCTATCCAATTTGTTGTTCAATGAGTGCTGAGGTTGGGATCTGGATTAAGCCAGGTCTAGGATCCAGGTCTTAAATTTTTTCCCATTTATTATTTATTTGAAACTTTTATTTTTAATTGTGTGTAAGTGTGTGTAGGTGTGTGTGTGTGTGTGTGTGTGTGTGCGCGCGCCTGTGGGTATGTGTGCAAAGCTTGTGGAGACCAGAGCAATCGGGTTCCCTGGAGCTGAAGTTACGCTAAGCTAAAGTTGTCAGTCACTTGATATGGTGCTAGGAACTGAACTCTGGTTCTCTGCAGAACCAGTAACCACTCTTAACTGCTGAGCTATTTATCTATGTATCTATCTATGTATCTATCTGTCTATCATCTATCTATCTATCTATCTATCTATCTATCTAT